AAGTTTTTCATCGATCCATCCATCCTCCAGCTAAAATATTTTAGATATTGAGAGAAGTTGCAACGAAGATTTTTCGACGGGTACAGCCCTGTCTAAAGCTTCACTTGACAATACAAATTCGCTGCTCTGAATAAAAAGTAAGGGTGTTATTAGGTGTTTGTTTAAATGTGGATCGTCTATCATGAAAATGTCATTACACCTTGCTTGATTCAGATTTGGGTGCACATTAAAGAACCCCAGGTGGTCAAAATTTCCGGAGCCTTCCACTACGGCTTCTCTCATAATCAAATGGTGGTTTTGGGACGTTAAACTCCACATATCAATCAATGAATCAATCACCTTGCTTGATAATCCACGAACGCTGTTCTTGACACCTGGTTGTTTGAATGGCACTGGCATCAAGGAAACAGCCACAAAAAAATAAAAACAGCAATTTATTGTATATAATATTTCAAACGTTTTTAAACATTTCAAAACAAAAAATGGTAAAATATATTTGAGCAAATCGCGGAGAACATAACTACAAGGAAACGATCGTGCATCAGGAAAGGGATAAGAGGGAATATAAAGCTAAGGAAGCAAAATTCAACCAGTTTAGCGGGCACTCATAAAACAGCGAAGTGGTTGGCTTACGATGAAGCCTTCGCTTCGTCAATCATTTTGCATGGTTGATTGAAGTGGGCTTTGAATGAAGTAAGCTTGACAGAAGCGGATTGAATGAAGCGGGAGGAACGGAGGAAATATACTCGGTAATATGCTGAGCTGGGGTTGGTGGACGTCGTGAGTAGTGACCTCTTCCCATTTCCTATCTCTACAAGACGGCCCCCAGTCATGAAAGACTCGACTAAGAAGAGCTTCACCCTTAACCGAAAAGAAATGTGTAAAAAATACAAAGCAATCGGCAGATGCCGTGCACTGTGAAGATCGATGGTATGCAAAGCAATCGTAGGGAAAGCTAACGTGACGTGTTATTGTTTTTTTTGATGAGTGATACGTTATGGAACGACGCTAAAGGTATGTACAAATGTTGTACGCACAGGATATGTTCAAGAGGACAATATATTTTCTACAGCTAGCGTAAACTGTTAAGTAACTACGCCAATAGCAAGCTGGGTATTCCATACGCCAGAAATGGTAAGCTGATATGTAGTGATTGTGCTTGTGAAGTTGTTAGTACAGGTTAGTGCTGCCTATATAAACTTCCATAGATGGCGCTTAACTGCCTCGAACGTTCACCCGCCGTGACGCATTCAACAATAGAGTACATAAGTAATGTTTATAAAATGAGATGGCCGGCACTGCTAACCTAGTCGACGTTTCACTAGCACTACACCTGCGTATGTTTTTTTTTACCAAAAGAGTTCCGAGACCTAGTGTGGCTCTTTTTAGAGTATACCTGAGTGCGAATCGAACGCAAATGCAGAATGTTTGGGTTCGGTTCCTGCGGGTATGAGGATATTTATTAATGCGATAGCGTCAAGGAGCTCGTTTCGCAGAAACTCCGGGGTCGGCGTCATTGGTTAAGAGTGAGCAATTATCATCTTATGTGTGACCGAAAATTAGAGAACGATGCAAAAAAATAATAATATAAAACCGCTGTGCTGGAGTGGGCACCGAACCTGGTTCGTTTGCTTGGCAAGCGGATGTTGTACCACACGGCCAAGCGACTGTTTCGAAATGCAGTGTAATTATTTAATACACGCTTTACAAACACACGCGTATACTATACATGCTTCACAGTACATCATAAAATATTGCAATAATAATGCATGGTACAAGCGCCCATTGCTATCGGGCGTCAGAACTTGTCATTATCATGATTACGTCATGGTCTAAAGCCGGTGACCCACTAAAATAGGCACACACGCTACTGCGCCTATTCTCTTGAGACCATGTTGTGGGTGAATTGCAAGTTCAAAAAAGGTGCATGCCCTAACTGTTTGAAGTACGCATTAGAAACAGAATATGACAATCGCTTCCAAGTCCTAAAGGTGAAGCTTTAAGGTCCCCTAATTTTTTTCATGCCTAAGCCGCTGTTCTGCTCAACGGAGAATGCACGCCACGTGCTAATCCGCATGACGATGGATCGAAAGGGTGGCCTTCCGTGACCGACACTGTGTTTCACAAACTGCACGATAAAAATAAACCTTGCAGAAGAGCCACCTTTCAGACCTTTTCAAACCTTATTGGCTTGTCGGGACCGAAAAATATATTTAGGTCGTCATAGTGGGTGGATTTCACAATGGCGGTGGTTATTTCAGACGGCGGTGTATTGGAGCATGAAAAAAATTCAAATGCACGAAGGGGGCGGGGAGTGGCTGGAGCTTAATAAATTCGTAGCCCCCCCCCCCCTCCTCTCTGGGCAACACTGTTGATCAGGGGAGCATGAAACACTAAAAATTTCAGTGGGGCGGTGAAGCAGCTCCCCGCTCTGGCTACGCCACTGATGCGTAACTATCCTTTTTGATGCACCACAAGCCTTTAGACAAGACAATTAATCCGTAGATAAATTGTCCTGTAAACTGTAGATAAATTGTCTTGTTACAATATCTGGGGTTAAACAACCGTCTCTAAACCACCATATGTATATAAAAGACGCCGTAGTTAACGGCTACGAAAATTCCGACCACCTGGGGCTCTTCAACGTGCACTTGAATTTAAGTACATGGGTATCAACGCTTTCGCCTCTATTGAAAGTGCAGCTTCGGCAGGCAGGATGGTTCTACGGATGGAGCAGTATTTGCTTGAAATGCAAGTGTCGCCATAAATCTGTGATGATGATGATTACGTAATTGAGTTTGTTGGCTGGGGTCCTAGTGTTATGTGGGAAACGTCTCTCAATGCTCTCGCTTCATGGATATGCATGCAAAATACCATACGCAAGTATTGCGTATATATAAAACGTGTTTTCCTGATTTTGCCACATATCAATATTCACGAACCCTTACACCTTCCACTGCATTGTCGACAATTTCGAACTGCATCATCGCACAAAGTGGATCCGGGACATACAAGCCATTCCTTGAACGAAACGAAGTTATCAGTCATCACAGAAACAAGCAGTTCGCAGAAATTGCTAAGGATATGAACATTTCACTTGTGGGGAACACGTGTGTGAGTGTGAGATCTCTGGCATTATCAATCAATAAGCTCGACCTACTATCTCGCTGGCAATCGACAGAAGGTTGAGATGCTTTATGAATAATCGCCTACTTTATTCTTTCCTTTTTCTTACCGATGGTTCACGTGTATTTATATATGGTAAACGCAGGCAATAAACAGTTCTTAGTCAGCACTTACGACCCGTGTCTCTCGTATTCGTCCCATGGTTTATATTCGCGTTGTTCTTACCATCATGCATGATCCTCCTGATTGCCCAGCCAGCTTCGCTGCACAACACTGATGTTCGCTGACATTTAGTCCTATAGAGCTAATACTGTGGTAACGTTTCATTTTTTAGTCACATATTCCGAAATCCGCGGTTCAGTATTTGCTAGTGGTTGCATTTCAGTTTTATTTGGAAGTTGGTGACAAGGTACCACCATAAAAATTCTATCAGAGCTGTATTTTATCGAAGTTGCAAGATACCTCACAGGCTTTACAGTCACTACGAGGTTAACTCACCAGACATCAGTTTTTTTTTTGTTCATTTCAAGTAACCAGGCTCTACCTCGCAATGCGGAAACAATTCTTCAGAGGTACTCGATCGGCGCTCATATTTGATGAGGAGTCTTCTCTCCCTATTGCACTTAGTGATAAAAATTGTTTTTCATACATACCTTCTGATGTGTCATAGAAGGCTTCCTCCTAATTAACACACCGAATTTCATAATACAGCACAAATCTCTGCCCTTATCAGTGAAGGATACATGCGTCATCACATAGAAAAGACCACATTACGTGAAATCCAGAGAACAGGTCTTATAAACTTGCCAAGATGTACGAAGTTGAACATTGAAGAAAAGGTGTAAACATCACAAACGCGTCTAAAGAGAAACACGTCATGAAAAGGCAGCTATAACGTCATGATAGAAACAAGGAGGAAAAGGAGGATGAGAAGTTGAGGGCAGAAAAAAAAACGAAATTTCTGCAGGCCTATTTGGGAGCATCACTCAGTGTGTCATGAGGGCAATGTATGAATGTTTAATAGCATCACGCGTAATAAGGAAACGGCAAGGTTACGATTTGGAACGTTGCTGGCCAAATGTCAAAAAAGGTGCTGGAAAGTACCGCCCGTTTTTCCGATTCATTAAAAAAACACGTTAAAAACTTTACCACGAAATACGGTTTGCAACTGTGCCAAGCGACAAAATACAGTAGTTTTGCCTATTTCTCTTTGGAGTTACGATAACATTTAAACAATCGGTTCTGTGATATGGAGCTAGTGAAACGATTCATATATTAGACGTACTTATGTGTTTCTTTTGTGTGGGACTGAGGTTGCTGATTTTTAAAATTTTTCGTATTCATTTCGACATAAAAATAAGAAAACGGCTTTATTATTGCTATATTTCATTAAAAAGAAACGAAAGACACGTGTCTATAGAGTTAAATATTCTTCACCAAGACATATTCGCCGCCATAATTCTAGTTCAATGACGCCATACTTTACGCGGATCGATTTATTCGAATATTCTTTTTTTTCGTCACACTACAACAGACTACAACAATTCTGTGTTGCCTTACACACCATTAAAATTGCTTCAAGCTATATTAGCAATGTTTATTCGGTGGGTTTCTTTTTTGCATTGCCCTCCCCCAGTTTGCACCTGTGTAAGGTCTTGAGTAGTGAACAAAGAAATTCATAAATAAATATTTGGAAGTTTATTTATAACGAACAGTTTGCTATGATATAAGCGATGACAATGAAATCCTAAGAATAAGGCAGGCGTTATTTTTTTTTATAATACGGGCAGATATGCAAGGTCTAGTGTGTCTGATGACACACTCAGTTCGTGTAAAAGTGTGATTAAAGCAGGATGACACTAATGGTTCCAGAGCACCCTGTTTTTATTTACTACAAAAACCAATGTGGGTACAAGTAATCGATTTACTTTCCGGCTGCCCACGGATGGTAGTAGTCATACCAATTTGTTCTTGGGCAGGTAGTTATTCCCGGGCACGCTTGAACGTTCCAGCTGCTCCAGCCAACGTGCTCACGTCTGTTGCGTGCTTTGAGCCACCTGTAGAGTGGCATGAAATATTCCAGAAGTGGCCCGGCATCCAGCTCTCTCGTCTTCCCTCTGGTTAAAATTGCCAGAACTTCTGGCCAAGGCTTTGAAGAACCCATCTCCATGACATGTCTGCGCAGAGATGTCCCCATTAACGTGTTTGCCTTTCACATTGTCGAGTTACCTCTGAGCGGCTAAATATCAAGAGCATAAACCTTATCACAACCCAAACTGTTCATTAAAAACAGAATAGAATATATTTGCAATTGCGTTCCGAGATTAACGGGTCAATGAAAGCTTCAGTTTACAGCCTAACATGAACGTAGGGCCACTCATAGTGCGAAAAAACAAACAAACATAATATTACATATAAGCACGGCAATCAGAATGTTCTTTGCTTGATTGACTTCAAATGATGCACACATGACTTTTTTTTTTCATTGACAAGGTCAGACATATCTACACGACTAGTTCAATCAACGCTCAATGAAAGCGGCACCCTTAGACGCTGCAGTAAATAATACTGCTTGTGCTAAATATTGCGATAGTCCAAAGTTTACAGAATTCGCCTAAGCTCCAGCCAACTGCTTTGCTTTTCTTTCGTTCAAGTTTTCTCTGCTCTATATCAACAGTGAAGTTGTGTAGTAAAGTATTAGTTGTGCGACGAACAATAATCGTGGCAGGGCATGCACGACAAGAATCGGCCCTACCACGGTGTAAAAACGAAAACAAATTTCTTCTCCAGGAGAAACTTCGTCGGTCGTGTAAAAGCAGCAATCACCATGAGCTCCATGACTCGGCCGGCACGTGCTCTCTATATCTACTGGTTAGTTTTCAGCTTGATATTCTGAACAAATGCGCAAGCGTATCTACAATGAGATGCCAGAACTCGGATGAAAAAGGGAATGCGTTCAGAGTGAGATAAATATAGAGTTGCGAGAGTCAACCGCTCGGGGCACCTGACGAAAGTGGATAACGTCACAAGCAACCCCCCTGTACTCTGTGGTTCGTGGTGGCACAGGTGTTCTCTGGTCGTGCACTTCACGCGGTCTGTTGAAACGCGAGCCGAGATGAGCAGCTGTGGGCGTGACAGTGTGCACGACGCTGCCGTGTGTACAGGTAGAATGAAGTTAGCGCCTATGTGGAAGTTAGCAAGACGGAATCGCTGGCACTAACTCGTGGGCCCCACTCCCATGCAACCCTCCTATAGAAATGCAGAAAGAAGTAGACAGAAAAAAAGAAAAAAAAGACAGGAAAAGCAAAATAAAAATTAAACGTAGCAGTGAGTAAATAGAATAACATAGAGAAACAAAAATAAGAGAGAAGAAAACAAACGGAGAGAGAAAAAATCTAGAATAGAGCAAGCGAAAATAGAGCAGAAACACACAAAAAAAGTGAGAAGCAGAACGAAATAGGTGGTCCGAAAAGGAATTATGTAAAAAGAAGCAACAATGAAAACAGATAGAATAGACAAGGATAAAGAGGAACGAAGAAAATACCAATCAAGCAAGGAAGGCCACTCAGCTCTGCTTCACCTTCTGGCTTGGCAGCACTAGTGCGGAGATGCCTTAATTATTTTACTGTTATCTTAAAGACGATAGTCTTCCTTACGGACCTTTGACGCAATAATTTTGGTCTGTCTGTCTGTCTGTCTGTCTGTCTGTCTGTCAGTCTGTCTGTCCGTCTGTACATTTATCTATTTGTCCGCCCTTAACGCTACCTTAAACGGCACCAAACGATACCCCAAACGGCCGACACCATCCGCAGCGCCCACCAATATTGCTCAAGGTTCAGTGTTCATACTTGTGTGATTGTCAAATAAAAAGCAATATTGCGCATATCTGCGGCACCATCACAAGACGTCAATATTTTGTATGTATGCCTTTTTTTTACTAGAAAAAGCATGCATAAATAATTCCAAGGACCGCAGCGTTTATCACGCTGCGCTGTCCATGTAACACTGACACGAAAAGGCTACTGCTTCTAACGCTTTGCTAAGACGACATGGTGGTGGCACCTGCCCGTCACTTTGGGTTCTGCAACTTCTCCCCTCCCAGACGGGTGCGCACGCCGCGCCCTTCGTTTTCCAAGATGACTGCCAGATAGCGCTTATGTCTCAAGTGTGACGTGACTTGATGCGCTCGTTTGCTCCGCTTCACGCTCGAGGCACTCTAACGCAGCACCTCCAGAATACCATTCACCAAAGTTCTTGCGCAGAACATCAAATAAACGTTTTGTTCCCTCTTTCCGCATGCAAGACTATCGTCTTTCAACGACATTTGCAGCGTAATATGTTGATACGGCGCCATTTTTGTTACAACGAAAGCTGTTATGAAATCACAACACGGGCCATCTTTGGCACCGTTATGGTCCATCGCGGCCGCCACTTACGGTTTTTCTAACCGCTACTGCTTTAAATAAGGAAACTAATATCAACATTAGGAAAAAGCGTTCGAATCTGTGTCCTTTCCGTGACAGCCCAGTGTTCTCCAAAAAAGCCATGCCTGGGTTCGAAGTGCTGTTGCAGAAATACCCCACGCATGCGTTATGTCGGGAAGGAACACAGCGTGAACATGCGTCATATGTCGTCGCAGAAGAGTACAATAGCAACCAGACAACACCAAAAAAAAAAAACGAATAGCGTAGCGAGTGGGTCGCTGAATGCTTCCAAGCCATCACAATGGGATCAACAAAAATTATTCATCGTTAACAGCCACCGCATAAGCAAAGAACGCATGTCTTTCAAATGCGTATTAGGTACCTCACTTTTCCGCAGAGTGATGAACACTGACGTACTCGGTACTCTGTAAGCTTACTTGTGTTACTATAGGCCCGAAACAGTTTACCACTATTTCTGGAAATGCCGGTCTTCCACCATTCACAGTGAATGTGCTGCGCTTTTTGCGCAGGCCTGGAGTTTTCTCTCGAAAGCTGAATCACCGAAAAAAAAACGCTCCTAATTTATAATGTACAATAAAATTATCTCTACCAAAACATACTAAGAACATGCAGGGTGTCCCAGGTAACTTGAGCCAGAGTTTAAAATTATGCCGGCAGACGCAATTACAACGTGACCAAATGCATGTTGCTCACCGTTGCCTGGAAGTAGGCAGACTTTTTCTGTTCTCAAATATTGTTTAACTAGATCTGTTTTATTAACGAACTTTTGAAGGAACAAAGATGGATAAAAAAATTCAATGAGAAAGCTGTAGGTAGGTTTGCAAAACGTCTGAATAGAAAATTTTGAAATTTTAATTTCTTAAGTATTAGTGCTTTTCTGCTAATTACAAATGCCCGCAAAATACACGAGACTATCACGTGACAAAGCCGCTCGCGCGTCAGTGCACACGACGGTTCTAGTGCTCCCTAACGATCCGCGTACGAACGACACGCTTCCCTCGCGCTGTTCCTTGACAGCGATAAGCAATCACAGTGGTCATCGTTTTTGTGACCAATAGCAAAGCGTGTTCATCATAAAGCTACCACCATTGTTGCGGCCCTGCCGAGACAGCACCATCGGGAAAATGCTATGCTCGTTCGTACGTGGAACGCTAGAGAGCACTAGAATTATTGTGCGCACTGGCGCATGAGCGGGTTTGTCACATGGTATATCTTGTATTTCGCGGACATTTGTAATTAGAAAAAATCACTAATACCTAACGGATATAAAGTTCAAAACTGCCTAATAGGACATCTTGAAATCCGGTGGGCAACTTTTTCATTGAAATTTTTTATCCATTTTCGTTTCTTGGAAAGTTAGTAATTTATACTAATCTAATTAAACAATATTTGAGAACACAAAAAATATCTACCTCCAGGCAACAGTGGACAACATGCATTTGGTCGCGTCGTAATTGCGTGTGCCCGCATATTTTTTAACTCTGGCTAAGTTTACCTAGTACACCCTGTATATATAAAAACGTTCGCCATTGAATTTCGAAAAGTGTTGCAGGCTTTATAGGGGTACTATTCAACTACAGTTTAACGTTGGTAAAACTAAATTTATTTTATTTAAGAGCAAAAACAAGTGGGAAGGCTATAAAATTTCTGGGTGGTCGAAAATAACGAAATCCAACGTGTATCTTTGCTTAAAATTTAGGTGTACTTCTCCAGGAGCACTTGAGCTGAACACCGCTTGTAAATAAAATAAAAGCCAATATGTCTCGATTGATTTCTGTTTTGAACAAACTCGGGTCCATAGTTCCTAACTGGTTGAAGCTCCAGCTATAATATTCTTTAATCATTATCATCTACATTACTGCCTTTTTATTTGGGGCATAACATAAAACGCCAGTCTAGAAATGACTCCAAGTTCTACCAAAAATAGCTGTGCGCTGCATAGAAAATCTGCAATCTAGGGAACACACTCCTCTATTTCTCGGCAAGCTTCGGATACTTACTCTTACTGCCTACCAAATATACATTCTAAAACGCAGCCCATATGTCAGTAATTAAGTAGCAAACACCGTTGGCAGTTATATGGACCATTGCTGCTCAAGCGATGCTCCCTACGATTGGTGCTTCGACAATTTTCAACTGCCATTATTCAGAACAACCTGGGGAAGCGCACTTTATTATATCAAATGCCTTATATATTGCACAACAGTAGCTATATGTCCACGAACTTTTACAACAAAGTATTGCTCAAAGCAGTGTGAAGATAAAGTTAGGAGCTACTTACTTACTTGTACCATGCCCTAATTATACTAGCTTTTATAAAGATTTCTTTTGGTGCTTATTTTAATTTTGTATGAGTGTGTAAAAGTCGCGCATTTTCTTTTTTTTTTCAAATGTATTCCTGCATAGTACTTAGTTTTCTACCTATTATTACTCATGATCTGAACTTTTTACTTATCTTCGATCTTGTTGTGGGCAAATTAGTGTTGACTGTGACGCGTTACATTAAAGTGTATATTTCGACATCTGGTATATTTTTCATTTTTATTTTTGTATCGCCTACACTCCAAAAAAGGGAATACGTATCTTCTTCTCCCGTTTTACCTGTGCAAATGTATGCTTGGAGGGACATTCGTCAGGCACAGGTAATCTGACTCTGATCCCTTCCACCTAGAAAATTTTGCTTTTGTCTGAATACACAGTGAAAGACAGAGAATATTATTTATGTTAGCTTATTTAAAATGACAGATATGCCTAGTGAAAACAAGAACTGTTCTCGGATGTTTTAATTACTATATCCCTACTAATGGCATTGAGATATATATCCAACTTAATCTAAAAAATCTTTTTTTGCAGTAAAATTATGTTGGAATGTAAAGCGAGAAATGAGATATTTCGACATTCTGTTCTATATGTCTCATTTGTTCTAAACATTTACAAAATCAGAAATGGTCAAGCCTACCCAAACAGTGCACCAGCTTCCTTTGAATGGTAAAAGTCGCACTGATGAAGTGGACCGACGTGATTGGCTTCATCACAGAGTGCTTTATAGAACTGGAATTGGAGGACGGTGCTCACAAAATACCTGCACAGAGGAGGCCTTATGAGCTACATTTCTCTATTGAATTGATATAGTATATAGTTAGGAGGTATTGCTACCTTATATAAGGCACGTCTGCGGCTATGTGGTATTTCGACGGTGGATCAAAGTCATCCCAAGATCGAGGAACTGCGGGGCAAATGCCTTGGTAATGGAGTCTGGAAGAGAAAGCTCAGTTTTGAAATTCAGGTCATGTACGCAAAGGTGAAACTGCAAAGATACCATGCTCTTTTTCTTTCGCACCTAAATTACTGCAGTTTGGTGTGGGCAACCACGACCATAACTAGCTTAATGAAACTTCAGACCATGCAGAAATAAGTTATTAGAGATGTCGCTAATTTAGAATATTCCTCGTCAACACAACATGTGTGTCGGGACTACGGTATTATTAAAGTGGAATATATGTGAAACTGGAAAGATACCATGCTCTTTTTCTTTCGCACCTAAATTACTGCAGTTAGGTGTGGGCAACCACGACTTTAACTAGCTCAATGAAACTTCAGACCATGCAGAAATAAGTTATTAGACATGTCGCTAATTTAGATTATTTCTCGTCAACACAACATGTGTGTCGGGACTGCGGTATTATTAAAGTCGAATATATGTATATCTTTTGCGTTCTACGATCCTGCTATTTCTCGTCCATTTCATTTAAACAATTCATTAAAAACACCGCATGTCTAACTGCAAAAAATGTTTTCTTAGGAACTAGAAGCAGTGGTGTTTGGATTGTTCTGAGGTTTCGCAATAATTACAAATATCAAACATCGCAATACAATCTACCAATGATTCTCAATAAATACAGTCACGTAAACAGTTTCTCAACAAAAGAACTACGATCCTTTTTTGTAAATATAGGTTAACGTTTTGACATTGTAAAATATGCTGTCTGTACGATAGTACGATTTCATTTTTCTTTCAGTGTGTGTGTTCATGCTCTACCGAATAGGTTATATGATTAAAAACATGTAGCAAACATAGTGTCTGCTTAATTTTTTGTTTGATATGTGATGTAGATTGCATGATGCAGGACATACACAATGTGCAAATTTGTACATACCTTCCCCGATACTTCGTCATTATTTTCTTACTTTTAATATTTTATTTTTGTGAATAATGGTGGTATGGTTGCTAGATTTTTCTTTTGTATTTTTTCTTTGTTTTTTTACTCGCGCTAATGTAATCTTCTGTGCTATGCTGGTATACCAGAATGTTGTGTAGTAATAAAATATATGTTTTTCTTACACCGTGTTTGGTAGTGTAATGTTAGCTTAGGGCCTTTATTCTTATACACATCTTTGTCATTGTCCCACCAGCCTTGTATAGGGTTAACTGGCTTCATGAAGCTGTCAATAAACAGCTTTTAACCAGTGAAAATCTCCAGAACCTGTTTCTTTCTGGGAAATAAAATAATTTGAATTTGATTGTGTGATAGATTCTAATGAAGTTATTGATGCGTTAAAATATATGCAAGCAACATTGAGCTGACGCCACCAGTCATTACAGCATGACATTGCTGGAAAGAGTACTTTTTCTCATGCACGTGCTTTATTTTGTCCCTCAGTCCCGATACGTTTCCTAGCAGGTGTAATGAAAGCCAACCGTAGGTGCCCTGGAACCAGCATAGGTTTCAATATAAGGCTCTGAGCTTCCTCTGCAGTTGCAGTGAAACTTAGTTCTATTAAAATATCAGGAAAATCACGTTCATTTGTGAGCGTACGAGCGTACAGGCGCTACAAAACTGAAGAAAATATCTTTCATGGCATGTCTTTGCTGCAATACACAAAAGCTGCTGCTAGCATCCGTGTTGGCTCTACCTTCACGACGGCCCTTGCGAGTTTAATTAGTTTAGAATGCTGACTCACAACTAATCGCGAAGGAAATTTATTTAGAGCCTCATTAAACCTTTGACCTGGCAGGCGCCCATTGTACAGGCTATCTTGGTACTGCAATCGCTTACAGCCCTAATTATAGCACCGACGTTTGTAACATCACCTTTTCCGCGTTTAGCAAATCAGGGCTACTAAGCCGTAAGGCTATCGTTGGACTACACTTGCTTATATCCTTAATAACAGCTCCCACATTTATGACATCATTTTGGCGTTTGTTAACTCGAGGGAACCACGCCGTTTGCTTAGACATGCAACACTTGAGAACGAAACCTGTACATTTACTACTGTTCGTTCTCCTCCTATAGAACATGCGCGCCTTATCTGAGTCCTTTCCTACAAACCAGCAATAATGCTTTTAAAAGATACCAATAAAAGCCATGAAGTTTTTTTTGTAGATACTATTTAGAAAAGAGCATGCAGTATCTTGGAGTTCTACCTTCAAATAAAGCGAAAATAAATAGTTCAGAAATTACTTCAGTCCTTGAGAAACATCTCTCAAACAGTTCTTCGGACTAGTGGTAAAAAAGGGCAAGATACATAGCACACAGTATCAGTTGAGTCGTCTGCATAGTCAACGCGCCTTGATTTAACATCAATGTACTAGCATATGACTACAGCTGTTGTTTTTGATAAAGGCACTATAGTGTTTGACGGGTCATTCGGTGTACCGTGTTCTAGGACAAATTTTGTAAGGATTCTTATAGATGTGAAGCAGCTCTTTGGCTAGCATGTGTAACGCTGTCCATCCGCGTCTCCGTGTCAACACGTCGCACCACACTCCCCTCGCTGCAGATGTTGGGGTGGTGCCAAGTAGGTCACGCCTTCTCTAGCAGTGCGCAGTGACGTGAATCTATCCCTCGCCTGCCATGCATTCATCACTTTCACCCTCTCTGACTTCCCCTTCTTCACTGCTCGCAACGTTCAAGCGCACATCGAGTGAACACTTTCGACTTGTTAATCGGCAATAAAGAGGACGCTGAAATGCAAAGCTCTCTCAGTTGGCGAAACCTGCGTCCAGGCGATTTGGACTAACCCGGCCATCGCCAACGTTGCGAGGGTTAGCAGAGCCGATCACATTCGCGAATAGCGGCGTCGCTGCTACAGCACTGACGAGGCGCGAGCCAGTGAAGCCGAACGCAAGCCACAGTAGTGAAAGACCAACGACACCGACGAGGTGCGAGTTGAGCATGCCGATCGTGTTCGAGAATGGAGACGGCGCACGGGTAACACAGACCAGACACGAGTCAAGGAAGCTGAGCGCAAGCGTCTTCAACGCCGCTGAAACACCGACGAGACGCGAGCCAAGAAAGCCGAGCGGAAGTGCCGACAGGAGAACGCCAACGCCAGTGAATCCTCGACATCGTCGTCATCGCAACGTCACCGGCAACGTCTCGAAAACGCCTCACCCTCTCCACTGAATCGTCCACCTAATCGCAATGCGCAACGCTGCTGCTTCGCCTCTCATTAGGGTTCTGGTTGGGAAGATGTCCTTATTTTTTCCTTGTAAGTATTTCTTTCCTCAAAGTGAAGCCAGCCAAAAGCGCAATGGATGAGTTTTTGAAACCTATCATTAAGTTCTTTTTGTGCGAAAATAGAAGATAACTGACTGTGGAATAAATAAATATACAAATATGCGCTAAGTAACTTTGATTACCGAAGCTCGCAAAAAAAGGCATCCCTCAGTTTAATTTTTTGGAATGTAATAACGAGTGCTTTATAATTAAGTTGTACGAAATTTGGTCGTTTGTGGAGAGGCCACTATACCATGCTTATGAAGGAGATATAAACTTTTTCTTCAACTAGAAAACACCGTTCTCAAGAAATTGGGACATATGAACCTAGCGCCATCTCTCATCGGTGATAGCGGTAGCCTGCCGGCACAGAACGGGGAAGAGGCGAAAAATTGTGTCTAACCAAAAAAGCCTAGCAGTCGGAAAAAGGGCTCCCACTTTTACCACGTAGAGAGCTTCTAAATTATGATAATATAAGTGTGACGTACAGAAGAGAACGGGACTTCCCAGAGTGATTAACATTTTACAATGGGGTGGCATATGTTTCTTATGGGCACCGTTCTGTTGTCCTGGGACGTCAAACGCTTTGTAGTTTGCTACTGCAAATTACAAAAAAAATGTTTTAGTTGGTCCACGTCTCGTGTAACCGGGAATCCTTTTTTGGTAACTACCTTTTTTTTGCCAGATATGTCTTGTACCACCTGTTTCCTTTTTCAAGTACAGCAGAAGGCCATTGGTGCTGCCAATAGATGGTGCCACAGACACATGTGCCCAAATCCCGGTGTAGCACGATTCCCAGCCCATCAATTTATCCTATCATGGCACCAGAGCTGGCCTCTGAAGATGTTCTTTTTTATCCATTACAACAGGTTACCTAAACGCTTCTACATCGTACTAGCTTTCGCTTTGTCATTTCAATTACACATAAAAATAATATAATAAATATATAATGAAAATATAAATATAAATAAATATAATAAATATATAATAAAAATAATAATAATAACATTAACGGCCAACGGCAATTACGAATAGCGCAAATGGAGACAATTCACTATTGTGTGTAGTGCGAAAGGCAAGAAGTGTTATACACTCACAACAGCGTCCACCAGGCCTTGTTATACTGGTGAGGTGAGTAGACGCCCTTGAACACATTCCATCTCCATAGATCGTAGGCATAGGCGGAGGGAAGGAAGGCCACTTTATCTAGTGCGATGCTAAACAAGTAGTTGATGTCCGTCTCTGTGAAAGAGCACGAAGAAAAAAAATCAAATAGGCGAAAGGGCAGGGTCCTGATTTACAGCACGTGGCTTGTATATTCTGCTTGTTGTTTATATCGCTAACAATCCCGCCGTATGAGCAAGAACAGCAGTTGCCATATCATCGACTATCATCAATTGTAGAACATATACAATGTACATTGTTCACTTACCGTAATCCTCCCACCTGTGCTTCAGGAGGCCGACCGCTTTCAAGTGCTTCGGCGTTGCCACAGAAAGAGAAATCGTGTCTCCAATGGCTTCGTGGAAACCTAATGGTGTGAAAAAGAGGCATGTGATGTCACTAAGCATCAAAATTCACTGTTGGCGTCTGAAAATTATTGTAAGTTTTCGTGACCGGAACAAAAAAAATTGAACAAACCTTATTTAACTAAATTTCTCGCGCTCAAATCACCATCAGCCATCATATTTCTATAAACTTTTTGCTGCAGCTCCATGGCTCGTGTACATTGCCAATAAATATTCTTAAGAAATTGTATCCGAGCGCATTGATGCACGTCCATGCAGACAATAGTGAATATATTTCTCAATAAGCAATCATCTATCAATCGACTGCCTAAATCATTGAAATACTGTATGAAACTTCAAAAGCCACAAAGGCCGAAATCGTAAAAAGCAGTGCAGTATAGAAACAGAGACAGAGAGCAGAGACATGGCACTGACTGACGTTTATTTAAAAAAAAAAACTTTCCTTTCAAGTTGTTTACTAATTATGTACGAACTTGCCCAACTAGCAAATATTCTGAACTGTATGATACGTCGTGGCTACCTTTATACTTAACGAAAAAATTCTCGTCCAAGGAGTATCGTTTCTCAGGACCCAATAAAGTTCCCTGTCTGTCTGTCTGTCTGTCTGTCTGTCTGTCTGTCTGTCTGTCTGTCTGTCTGTCTGTCTGTCTGTCTGTCTGTCTGTCTGTCTGTCTGTCTGTCTGTCATGCACGTGGGGCGGGTGCACCAGTGTGATAGTCATCATTTTTTATTTGTAATGGGACCACAATACGTCGCTCTCAAAGTAGTAGAAATAAAACAACAAAAAGTTAAAAAAGGATCGTCGATATGAAGAAACCGACATTTCATGCATGATCACACAAATGTCATTGAATCTGGCGGGGAAAAGCACATATTTATTGAAAAAAAATTGAAATATTACATCTGGCTGCTTTCAAAAACTTAGACCGGCCTTTCTGTTTCTATCTTTTGGCGACAGCTATTATGTGGCCACTCCAGACGCATTGCTGCCGTCGTGGACACCCTAATATTTAGTATAAAATCTCAAACGGTAACACTATACTGCGGCTGGTATGCCATATGTGGGAGGGAAAGCTCGCGATTTCCATCGAGAAGCGCGGCCGGCGCAACTTTCGCGCGCCTCATATAAGACCTCTCCATGCGCCTTATGCGCGCCGTTGCCTGAAGCTCGCACGAGAGCTGCATAGAGATGTCGCAATGAGAGGCTGCGTGGCTCCGGCGCAAACAACGTACAGTCGACCGACCGCATGTGGTCGCTGGTATACACGTACACAGTATTGTTTTTAAAGGCATCAGCAAATGACTCATGCCTTCACATACATTGTGTTCTTATGACAGAGTTTGCGTTGAGTCTATGGACATCAGGAAGGCAGCTTGGTTTGTTGCAGCGGCCTTGTATTGTTATGCTAGCGTATTTGTTTTTTTTTTTCTAGTTAAGCAACGTGTGGTGCTTGAAAATGAGGCACCTGTCTGACTTTGTATAAATCTTTCTGGCTTGTTGCTATCTTCTTAATTTTTTCGCTCTTGCGACAAAACTGTGACATTGAGGGAACGAAGAATATAATAGGCAATATTATGCAGTCTGTAAAGTACTGTACGGTTTGCGTGCGAAGACTATAGCGCGTCAGAAATTTAACTGCTAATGGCTCTTAGCTAACGTGGACCAGTGCGGACTAACCAATGGTTAATGCCGGTTATAAGTCTTGATAACAATGCCGAAATAAGCAGATGCGCGTGACAATGCCCAGACCACACTTCTCTTTAGTGACATCGAAAACTGCGACAATTACGTGTACAGCAACTCACGGCAAGCATTTTACTTTTTATCTCTAATATCACAGATGCCATCGAAGTGAAATTTTTCAAAGAAATTAGTTCGGAAGAGTTTGGTTCCTACTTTCCGTGGAATGAAACCAGGGCGTGCCGGCAAATTTTTTGTCGTGGTCACAAACCGTTTGGTTTAGCGCATTCTCTAGGTTAACCAATGTGCGCAGATGAAATACCTGTTTTAAGGAGGGTATATATCTTATCAGCAACCTATCTTCCCCTTTGGGATTATTTAACGACAGGACATGTAAACAGCAGTGATGCTTTTTCTGACGCTACACTCTCGTTCTTTGTGTACTTGAGTCGTGCCCAGAGCGACAGCCTCACCGTGGTCTCAACGAAAGTATATGCCTTCAGTAACACTTGTTACTAATAGTGTAGGATCGAGTGGAATGCATGGCTACAAGACACTTACCTTCACATGGAAACTTCATTGTGCTACCTCAGCACATTCGTATTCTATGCTTCCAGCATTCTTAGGAACATCATCACCTGTTCAACCGTTTCTTACACGGCGGTGAAGCTTCCGCCCGAGTCATCTATAGCTTCACTTATGTATATAAAAAAACTGTTACAGTGTGCCTAAGCTAATGACCTTTTACGGGCGTATTTGTCGGTGATGTTGACGGTGAATTTTAGTCCACCAAAAACGCAACACCACACTCCGCAGGGCCTCTTCGATCTCCTAATAACCTAGTGCGCTGGCCGCCATATGATGCCCTTCTGTCTCCATGCAAAAAAGATGCTTGATGTATGTGAAGTTTAAGGTCCCAAAACCACCATATGATTATGAGCGATGCGGTAGTGGAGGGCTCGGCAAATTTCGACTACTGGGGTTCTTTAACGTGTGCGCAAAGTGGAGCACACGGGCCTACAACATTTTTGCCTCCTTTCAAAATCCAGCCTCCGCTGCCGGGATTTGATCGCGCGACCTGTAGATCAGCAGCTAAGTCACTAGACCACCGTGGTGGGGCTCACAAAAAAAAGTCAGTTTTGCCTAAAGAGCGAAGCTATGAATGCGATAGCAGCATATTCGAATGTTTTACGAAGCAAGGCTAGCATTTTAGGAGCAATAATAGCTGTAGTAAACATGCGCTTGCTAAGTAACTGTTTTGTCCGGGGTTGTCGTCCCATAAACGTACTCTTGGAACGGTAGTGAAAAGACATAGGCAAACAAGCCCCAATGGTTAAAACTTGTTTAATTCCTATTCAGACGAAGGCGGTAGCCGAAGTGCCATGGGTAAGCGAGCGGTGGATCGTTGTGTTGAGCGGGGGACGCAGGAGGAGGAAGAGTTGGAGTCCTAATGACCGGAGTCGTTCGCAACCGACGTCCACCGCTTCACTGTGTACCGCTCAGATGCTTGCTCGGAATCCAGGGGTGGTTTGGTACACTACATCTCCTCTCTCTCTTTAGATTGTCGCTTGGAAGCGACCTGGGGGCGGCCGTTGTCGTGTGAATGCTCTGGGGGGAAGAGGAGCCTCAGCTCGCTGGGTGTCACTTCCCTTGTGTTCAGTGCCAGTCGGCCGCGGCGCCGATTCATCTGTTGCCAGATGCCAGGCTAAGTGGGATGAAGCTGCTGTCAGGGTGCCTGCTTGAATGGAAGCTTCCTTTGACAAACTACCTGGACAACGTAGCTGATTAGGGTGGTGGCGTGTGGCCTTTCCACCGATGTCGACGAGCCATGACCACAAACCTGTGCGTTTGAGCACCGCCGCTTCAAGCCAGCCAGGCCCTCTGCTAAACTGGCGGGCGTATATGCGCTGCCCACTTTCAATTCTCCTGCTATGCGGAAGCATTTCTTCCTCGAACAATGTCTTCGCCGAGAGCTCCGGGACAATTGCTGTCAGCTGGGTTCGCATTTCTCGGCCAAACGCCAGTTTCGCCAGCGTTGTGCCTGTAGAGCTTTGAACACTGTTGTGCTGTTTGAAGAGAAAGCATGCGACGCGGCGTTGCGTTGTCACAGTCTGATTTTTAGCGACGGTGTGTTTGAGGTCTGCTACGTAGCGCTCAGCTTGCCCGTTGGTTGCCGGGTGGTATGGAGCTGAGGTAATAGACGAGACGCCATTGTCTCTATAGAACTTGAGGATCTCCGTGGACACAAACGAAGTGCCGTGGTCGCAGACAAGCTTGTGCGGTATTCCAAACGTTGCAAACAACAACCGCCGTGTCGATAAGCACCGATGTCATTGTGGCCATTTGTTTGGACGCATTTGTATGCGTCAAAAACCGCGAGGAATGAACATCCTTCGATAGGTCCATTAAGGTCAATATGCAGGGATTGCCAAGACTTTATGATGCTTTCCCATTTCGGTATAGGAGCTCTTGGTGAGGCTCTATGAATGCATTGGCAAGGCTGGCAATCGTGAACTGTTGATTCGATGTCACGGTCAATACCCGGCAACCACATGCCACTTCTGGCGCACTTCTTAATGGCAACAATGCCTTGATGACCTGCGTGGACAAGGCTTGTTCGTGAAGTGTCACAGGAATCACCATCCTTAATGCCAAGGTGACGCAGGTGCGATGAGTGCTCAACTACGTGGCTTGCTTGCGGTAAGCGTTAAAGTGTTCACCCTTTAGCTTGTGCACGTTGCCTTTCCAGTATAGCTGCGTAGATTTCCTTCAAGACGGTGCACTCCTGTGTTGATGCCGCTATCATGTCAGCCGTTAGCGGAAGGTTTGGCAGTGCTTAGATCATGAGTATGTCACCTGGTTGGGGTGGTGCGTCTATTGTGGTGTCTAGCGGCAGGCGGCTTCTGGAGTTTGTCTAGCGGCAGCCGGCGTTCTGGAGTTTCTTGCCAGTGCGATGTTGGAGTTGATAATCGTACGCCTACATTTTGATACACCATCATGTTATTTGCGGTAACAACGTCTGTGGCATCGGTTTCTGGGGTCTCATAATACCCAATAAAGGCCGGTTATCAGTTAAGAAGGTCACTTTACTGCCTTTATTATACTGTGGAAAGTGGTCTGCTGAGTAGACAATGGCAAGTCCCTCTTTGTCTAGCAGAGACGAATTCCTCTCTGCCTGCAATAGAGTGCGCGATGCGAGAGCGACCGGGGCTTCCCGTCCCTGGTGGTCAGCTTGAAGAGAACTGCCCCCACTCCCTATGTTGATGCGTCACAGGCTAACAGTAGAGTCTCCTTTCATTGGAATGTCGCAGAACAGTAGACTTCGGTAGCCGTTCCTTAAGGGCAAAGAATGACTCTTGTTGGCGTGGCGACCAAGTCCATTGGACTTCTTTCTGCAGGAACTCGTATAGATCGTTGGTCACTGTAGCTCGATGTTCTAATAAGCGCTCGTAAAACGTTAATAGTCTTAGGAACGACAGCAATTTTTGTTTTAGTAGGCGATTGTGCTTCAGTCATTACTCGCACTTTGTCTTCAGTGGGGTGAATACCCTGTGCGTCAATCTTATGTCTAAGAAATTTCACATCAGGCACTACAAAAACGCACTTTTCTTTGCTGATGCGCAAGTTAGTATTCGATAACCTTTCTAGAATGAGCTCCAAACGTCCTGTGTGATCTTCATCGGAGCGCCACCGAGAATAACATCACCTCAGACGGCGCCAACTATAGGGATTCCTCTAAGTATAGACTCTATAAATTTCTGGAAGATTGCTGGTGCTGCAGCTATGCCGAATGGTAGCCTTTTCACTTTGTAGAGACCCTTACTGGTGCTTATCGTGAGCAGTTCGGATGTTGATTGGCTCACCTTCAATTGCTGTTAGGCTTGTGTCAAATTCAAATTGATGAAGATTTTTCCACTCCGAAGCGTGCTGGAAACTTCTTCCGGTGTCGGCAGTGGGTAGGATGATGCCTTCGTAGACAGGTTAACGGTGCTCCGGTAGTCTCCGCAGAGGCGTAGGGTACCGTTCTTCTTTCGGAGGACAATGAGTGGTGTAGCCCATTCTGAATGTTGCGTCGGTTCGATGATCCCTTGCTCCTGCAGACGGTCAAGCCAATTCTCAACTGGCGTTTGTAGAGCAAAAGGTACCGAACTAGCTTTCAAAAATTTCGGCGTTGCATCTTCTTGCAGCTGCAGTGTGACTGGAGGTTCACTGCTTCCAGGTATTTCTTCGGGAAAAAATGCCTTGTACTTGTCTTAAAGCTGCTCTACTGATGGATAGTTGAATTCATGGTTAACTCCACCAACGACCACTGCAAGAGGGGTGAACCAATTTCGGCCTAAAAGGCTTGATTCGGAGCCATGAACGACTAGCAATGGCAGATGGTGGGTCTAGCCGTTGTAGTAGACCTCTACGTTGGCACAACGTAGTAGTGGAACGGAATATCTTTACCACGTTCTCAGCTGCGTGTCGCTTGCTGGAGAGTTGGTGCGTTCTCACTCCAAGTATCTTGAAAAGTCTCCTGACTGATGAGCGTGCATGCTGCTCTAGAATCCACCTCATACTTAATGTGGCGATGGTGTACTACGATTTCTGACATTATCTCTGGTATTGTGCCGAGATTTGCAACGGCGTTTAAGTCGTATAGAGCAGCTCACGTTAGTGGTCTTCTCACTTTGCTATCTTGTGTCTGACCCTCTTGAGTGTGGACATTAGGGGTTACGTTGCACTGAACCCTTCAGCCTGGGCCGTTTGTGCTTGGTTATGCATGCCTTTTTTATGTTTTTACGTTTTTGGCGAAAATTGCACGTAGTTGTCTTGAATCGGCATACCTGGGGATCGTGCATGTCTTCGCATTGCCAACAGTGTTGTGTTTTTTCCTTGAGTTGGCCGTGGTAGCAGAATGGCCTGGCTGCTGACTGGTGGGGTGCACTGGCTCGACGTTCTGTCGGATGTCCTTCTGCTGGTGACTGGTGCTCTCCGCTCGCTTGGCGATGTCATACTGGCAACAGGCGTTGTTGTAGGCCTTCGTCACGAAGACCACACACAAAAAGGTCCCGCAACATGACGCCCAGGGGGAGCAGAGTGGTGTTAGCAGGCGTAGTAGTCGATCCCACCTCCTGCACAGTAGCTGAAGTTGCTGAGGTCGGCATGCCGAAATTGCAATCAGCAGCGAGTTTTTCAGGAGCTGCCACGTAATCACTCACTTTTTTGCCTTCCAGTTGGTCTCGCCGTTGAAAGCGGGCTTGGCTGTAGACCTCCGATAACCTTGGGTCATAGTGCTTTTGCTGCGCAGCTACAATGTCGTCGTAGTCGATGACAGTAGCTGGAGTACGTGGCTGATTCAGGGCACAGACTGTGTCATATGTCTGCTCTCAACACAGCGTTGGCAGGTTGGCTCACTTTATCGCTGCATCAGTGATGTTAGCCTCAAAGTCCATTTGCAGGTCCAAACCACGATGACCCTGATGAGCCGGTGAATTTGGGTAGTCGATTATGGAGCCCGTGCGTAGCTATGAATTGCTTGTCAAAAGCATTGCGTTGTGCAGGTCCAAATTCACTTCCTCGTCGCCACTGTTATGACCGAGGTTGTCGTTGTCCCATACACGTGCTCCTGGAACAGTAGTGAAAAGGCATAGGGAAGCTCTAATGGTAAAACTTGTTTCATTCCTACTCAGACGGAGGCAGCAGCCGATCTGCCGGGGCTAAGCGAGCAGCAGGATCGTTGTGTTGAGTTGGGGAAGGAGAAGGAGGAGGAAAAGGAGGAGTCCTAATGACCGGAGTCGTTTCCAACCGACGTGCACCATTTCATTGTGTACTGCTCGGAGGCTCGCTCGGAACCCAATGGTGGTTTGGGACACAAGAGTAACCAAGTTTCCAGCGGCGCAGCGACAGTAGATGACATCAACAAGGCTTGTGCGTAGTGACAGCGTTCATGAAAAGTGCCTCCCGTGGGCAGCGCATGCTGGTACTAAGGGCTATACGCCGTAACCGCTGGTGTTAGAATTTTTAATGTGTAGAGCGCATCTACTTGGGGACGGCCGCTACGGGTACATTTTTAGCACCGTTTTTTCTTGTTAAGAGTGCAGCCCACAAAAGCTCCTGCTTCTGTGGGGGCAAGAGCCACGAGCTGATTGTTGCATCGATAGGGCAGCAACTAGTAGCGCCCCCCCCCCTTTTTTTTTGCTGTTCGCTCACGAGGTAAGCACGCACGCAGACAACCCCGGCCAGAAAGGCGACGTTCGCTTTCCAGAAAGAGGAGCCTAGCGCATCCTTTCGGTTTGTGATGGTGGCAGCTGCGACGGCTAAAACCAGCCGACACTGTCCATATATCTTCTATCGCATTGAAAGAGTTTCATGAACGGATGAATCAATATGACACTTTATTGATGAATCGTAGGTACGCGACTAAATGGGCTCAAGTATTTATTAATTAAGTTTGACATGAGGTGCAAGAGCTCATTTCGCGTTGTGGGCACCGTTATTACCATTACTGTGTCGCCTTTATCGTCTGCTTCCCGACGTCTGAAGCCCCTTTGGAAGGACGAATTTCGGTGCTTTGCTCCAAAGGTCTAACGAGCGCTTGCCTAGTCTCGGTGTGTTAAGGGCTATTGTGAAGGGGAATATGATAAATAAAGCTGATCACAGAAACAGTTCCCTAATACTTTGGAATATTCATTCCTGCTAAAGTGAGTTGGTGAGACATGTTTCAAAATACATGGACAATGCTAAAAAAGGCGACCATTTTCAACTAAGCATAAGTAGAACGGCCATGCGGCTGGAAGATGTGGCAACATTCTACGTTTGGCCAACTCTGTGCGCAGATACAGATACTGGTTAAGGTTTAAAACACACTCCAGAACTCTAGTACATACTTAAAAAAAACCTCAGGACAGTTTTATTAAATAATTTTGTTACATATAATGCAGATCGTTGGCTCCGAGGTGGGAAAATGTTTTACCGCAAAGAAACCAACTGCTTCATGCAATCGCGTTGTTTATATCTGCCTATGGGTTTTGCTTTAATGATTGCAAAGAAAATGCCTTACCTGGATTGGCTCCTCTCCGAAAGACAATGTGCTGCTTGGAGTACTTGAGGTAGTATTCCACGTGTCCCATTTCGTGATGTGCCGTCAGGAAGTCATCCATGTTTATTTGTGTGCATTGTTTTATCCTGGAGAAGAATTGGAGATTTTGGACTGTATTAAGTACAGAACGGGTTCCACTATAGGCAATAAAATACTGTATATAAATTGGAAATTTTCCTGGATGCAAACTTTTTGATACGAGCACAGTGTACTATCATGCGAAGTAAGGCTAGTGGGTAACTTTTTACAACGTGATCTGGCGTAATTCTACAAAGCGCTCCCGTATACACGATAGCCGCTGCAGTAGACTAAGCAACATTCGTACAGCCTATCGCTTCAACGAGACGTAAATAGCGAACGCACCGTGCGTATATAAAAGTGCGAGAACTCTGATAATCTTCGTCGGGATAGCAGACGAGCGACGATGAGCAATTCTAGTTTTATTAGAGTTAACCCTCCGCCTTTTTTTTTCAATTTCCCATGCTTCCCTCCACCGTCTTGTAAGAGTTGGTAGGCGCCGGAACAACCGGTACTCCCTGAACGAATGTTTTCGAGATAGAGGGGTGTTTTACGACTTTTCCGCTGGAAAAAGGGCGCATAGGCCCTGGCATCGAGAAAGAGGTAGATTGCTGGCCGAGTCATATAGCAACCCCGCCTGAAATTTCTTCGGCTTCCCTCCGCGCACCTTGGCTCATAGGAAAAGGAATTCGAGCTCTCTTTCAACCTACGCCACCATCAGATGCAGCCTTCACATACTTTCACGAGCAAGCACAACATACGCTGTGAGGGCTCCTGTTATCAATTGGAATTCGTCGGAGCATGACGACGACTTTGGCCACAACGGAAAACGTACAGCTTGAGTACCCGAATATCTGCTGTCGCAAAAGAGCTAAAGCTTATGCGCGCTTATTTCGAACCCATGCAATATCTGTCATTTTTTTGTGTACTTTTTTCAAGTTCATAATACTTTGGGGTCCAGCTTGTCATCCCTTCACCGTCTTAGGTCGCATCACCATGCAGTCGTCAACAGAGGCGTGAAACAAGGCAAGTAAGCATAAAATATTATGACCTACAGATATGCAGAGAAGTGACCGTATTATTTTACCTCTAATTGCAAAATACAAAAATACGCTACTGAAGTATGCTGCTGATACCCGGGCCGCGTAAAAGACGGTGCTGCCACCTCGGTAAGCAGGCAATAAATGAGGCAGTAGCAAGCGTCAACAGTATTGAAGGGTTGCCCGTGCCACGCACTTCCTCATTGACACGCCAGTGGAACGACATTGCCCCATAATTTGTAATTGCAGCAACGCCTTACTCAGAAAGGACATTAGCGCAGAATTTAAAATTTTTCTCTTGATCTGTGACAGCTGCTTTTACACGCAGCTTCCTCATCGGTGCACAATTTCACAATATATAGACTGCCTGCATTGGCACATGATCTCTTTCCACACCTAATGACTTCCGTAAGATTCAATAACATTAGCTGTGAGCGCGTTTTAATTAAACACTGTCTCGTTCGGATATTTCTGTTGGATTCACTACATGAGAAAAGTACGTGCATCTCATGCGTACTCTGTAAACAACAATCCCAAGCGAATGAATATCTGATGGCGCATTCGGCTCTATGCTAATTATTCCATTTCGTTCGCAGCATGTTCTTCATGCACACATTACCACTGAAGCTTACTTTTTGCCTGTCCATAATAATAATAATAATAATAATAATAATAATAATAATAATAATAATAATAATAATAATAATAATAATAATAATAATAATAATAATAATAATAATAATAATAATAATAATAATTTTAAATAATTTATTATTATTATTATTCTTTTTATTATATAATTATTATTATTATTATTATTATTATTATTATTATTATTATTATTATTATTATTATTATTATTATTATTATTATTATTATTATTATTATTATTATGTAGGGGTTTACCAACCTGAAATCATAATTTGATTATGAAAAGCTGTTTTGAAGCGCTTCGGAAATTTCTACGACCTGGGGTTTTTTACCACGTGCCTAAATATCACTACATGCGCCTCACACATTTTCGCATCCATCGAAAATTCAGCAGCCGCAGCTGGGATTCGATGTGGTGGCCTTCATGTTTGCTTGTTCTTTAATTGTTACGTTTACATCTACGGGAGCTTTACTTGTATATTTCTTACAATATAAGCATAAAAAGAGCCACGGCTGCTTTGGCTTCATATATCGCCAACTCTTCTAGCAAAAATATTTAGTGACAAGCTTGGGAAAAAGACAGAGCCATCAGTGGAAACTTTGAGTGCTGTGCTACCTTGGAATTCGCACATATTGTATTCTTTGAAGCTATATTTACATCTTTTTACATTTTATATTTGCAAAAGTAACAATACAATTTTAAGCAAAGAAGCAGTAAGATCGCAACCAATAAAGTTGGTAACAGACCTGACATCGTTGTTGAGGTATAAGTCCCAGGCTGACGGATGACAAACAACTTTCCTGTCCGATGGCTTTTCCAATACCGATCGCGTCCAAAATGTGCGTGGCATTGCGGGAAGGCCCATGGACGTAAAAAACTCCTCCGCATATCGAAATATCCCATACACAGTCATGTTCTGCAGAAGACACACATCAGATTACACTCCCAAAGAAACCAAAATTGACACAATACGTTGTGGTACTCAGCGTGCAAGTCGCAGTTGATTATGTGAAGTTTGAGCATTGGGCTATCTGATAGCACTAACACACGCTGACGTAAAGTGTCAACTACTCTTCAAGTATAGCCATCGAGCCTCGGTCTTGTCGATTTCGTTTTTAGGAGGCCGTAGTGACATCACTCGAACGCTTGGTGGCCTTTTATACTTATCTAATTGCTTGTAAAACAGTACAGAGGCAGCCCACTGTCTACAAGGTATCTTGCTGCGTGTTAACGTAGCGACAATTTACCTCCTTGCTATGATCACAGAATGCGTTGGTATTCATAGCAAGTTGGTCGCAGTGCTTAACCCACAATAATTTTCGTTCCTTAAGTTGTTGCCTAAAGCTCAGCTTCTGGTACGAAACCAAGTGGAACAGTTTTAGCAGTCTTGAACAGCAGTGTTGTTGTCCAAGGCTGGTGAGTACTATTTTTTATTATTTAACTGCTCATCTCTATTCCACACTTTACTGTTTTTTTCCTGGCGCAACAAAACGTAAATACGCATTTTTTCAGCGTACGTAGGATTTCGAGGTCAGATTACAAGTACATTGTAACCGACTTGTGTTTCTCCACTGTGATGGCTGTGACAGAGAAGATGTACTTCCGAAGGGTAACAACGTGAGTTTTTTGGCTTTATCATCATAGCATTGAACTGTGCAGATAGATGATACATGAAAGGCTGAATGAATTTGGCACCCCTAACTAAAGTTGATTGCTTTGTGTCACAAGAGATCTCAAATATATTTAATAATTTAAAACAGCAGTTCATCTTTTTCATGTTTTCGCTTATGGTCTGTGAAATGAACGAGTTAAATAGCACCAAGTTTTGACAGATTCTGTTCGTCATTCCTTAGTGTGATTCCGCAGTACTCGAAGCACCAATTAAAAAAAATGTGGAGCTCCATCAGACTCTGTCATGAATTATATCTTGTGCTTAAGGCTCACTAAGTCTCATTCTCGCCAAACGTTTCCTCAATCGTACTCATTGAAAGTTACATTCATGAAAAGTTCAGACTGCCTGGTATTCTATCCTGAACTCATTCAGACTGAGACTAGCGGTTTACTCCGAATTAGAGTACGTCTACTCATGAATGAATTTGCCGCCCTTTTCGTAGAAGAAATTTCATCAACTGATTCATGCCTGCCCGAGCATTGGTTAGATTATCTTACCATTTGCAACATGGTATCCGTGACGTTGATGGCCGGTTTATTTGGGTAGGGCATAGTGATGTCCTGAATTCCTGTCCATTTTTGAGCGTGTATGTGACCTTCGAGAAAAAGCACAGATTCAGCTTCATTGTAGATGTTATTACGAGTCCTCAGCTTCTACAACCTCACAGCTTCAAGCTTCTTCAAGCTTCTTCAATAAACATTACTCCGTCTTCTGTGTGTATTGAAGGAACAGTAATGAGAGGTCATGAACTAAAGCATACTAGAGTTGATTGTGATTGTTCTCACTTTGATTCTGCCACATGAGCGTTTTTTTGAAAATCATTATAGTTACAATAATGGCATAGAGTTTCAAGTTAGCGAACGTAATCAATCATCTAATGGAAGTCTTGTTGAAAATACTTCTAAACCAGCCACAACTATCGTGCCGGGATGGCCGCATTTACAACCACTTAGCCACTTACCATTAATTATCAGAACTCTAACACTACGTTATAAAATGTCTTGCAGGCAATCAAATGCATTAGGTTCCCCTCTGGGGCAGCAGGGGCTCAATATATCCTGAACTTTGATGGTTTAACGGAGAAGTACCTTTCCACAAAATAAGCACTACTGCCATTTTTCGACGTGTCTTACAGCTATATTACAAAAACAACTGACCAGCAGTTGTATGAGTTGCGTTATCCGCTGCCGAAAAACCCCGCTGGAACTTCACGCTGAAGCGATATGTGGTTAATTTACGGCAAAGGCAACCTCGTGGAAACTTGTTGCTGCTCAGATAGAGAAACTTTCTTCTCCTTTAAAATCAAAATTACTATTTGAACACTTCTGCATGTCTTCCTGACAAAGAATGCGATATAACAATATATAGGTACCATTTATACTTAGACTGCCAACTGTGAAAATTAAGCCGCAATATAGGTGAACATGCCCTTTTTCAAAACTTTGTCGCAATATTTTCACAATGATTTGCTTAATTCGTTCCTAAAGTATTTTAATAATTTATTATAGAAACATGTAAAACAGAAAAAGATAAGACAATATAGATGAAGCAAATTCTGCTTTTTTAAAAGAAGCACAAAACATGCAGAATATAGGATTTTTTTTTGCCACGGAGACAAAAAAGAAAGTTCATACAAAAATGATTATACTACCACAGTCATGAAAAAATAGCACCTTCATATTATGGAGAAATTGCTCTGTAGTAACTGCTTAAACGAGTATTAAGTATACAGTATATTTCTTTCAAAATGGTAAACGAACCACCCCAAGTAGTCATTCTTTCGCAGTAATATGTAAACTTATTAGCGCGACAGAGTGTGACTTCGATTTTGATGCACGAAATTTCAAGTGCTCTCTGGGCAACAGGAAAAATTCACTCTTGTAAATATATATATATATATATATATATATATATATATATATATATATATATATATATATATATATATATATATATATATATATATATATATATATATATATATATATATATATATATATATATATATATATATATATATATATATATATATATATTTGACAAGGGTGTGTGCTTGTCCGAAACTGTCGAAACTGTTTTATTGGGCAATGTTTAGATGAAAGGCTGCCCAAGCGTGCACTGTTTTGCTTTTTCTCTACTGCAACAAAAACGGACTTTTTAAAGGCCGCGTTTTTGACGTCATGCTGTTACCACACAAGGTCAGGCTCTCACCAAATGATTGTGGAATTAATTAGGTTTTGTTGCAGGGCCGTCACCCATATATATATATATATATATATATATATATATATATATATATATATATATATATATATGTGACGCTATGATTAATGGGTGACCTGGCCTGGCTCATACTCCATGTTTATTCTGTTCTGCACTTCTTCCTCATCTACTTCTCCTAACCATCCCTGCCTTCTTACGTCACACGATTCCCCCTCCCCCCGAAAGATGGCACCGGTTACGAGCTACAACAAATTGCAGAGAATAAACAAAATAATGGCCAAATTCACAGTTTGACGTCCCGGCATAGTTTCACAATCTCACTAAATCTTCAAGGCCGAGGGAGTAGTCCGGTGATTTTTATGACGACTCTGGTGGTCGAGCTTGACTGTTGCGTTCCGGACAGAGCGGGCTACACATGGATACCGACAATACTGCTTGAACTGTTCTGGGGACTAAGCAAGGTTGGAACGCATCCTTGCATCGGCGGCTCGTACGTCGTCGGGGTTGTATTTTTCGTCGTGAATGGTGCAATTCCGGTGCTTCTTGCTTTCGTGCTTTTTGACCGACTGTGACGAAGTGCCTGAGTGCTTGCGGTGTGCAAGCAGTGCTTTTGCGTCTTTCTCGGCGTTTTTTGTGGTGGTGCAGTCGGTGTAATAGCAGGTGCAGGGAGCGTTTCTGGTGACTTTTCTTTGTGTGAAATTGCCTGACGTCTTGAATCGGTCTTTGGTTTAGAGATCTTATTTTCCGATGTTCTTTTATTGGTGCGTGCGCTTCCGTTGAATTTCGCGTTCGTCGATGCCCTCGTTGCAGTTTCTCTTGTTGTAGCATGGGTTTATGAACTTGGCTTTGCTTGCTTTGCTGAGGCTGCTCAAGAGATGGCTGTAGTGGCGCCCGTTCAGGAATGGGGCATTCATTTCGTTCGGTGTTTGACGCGTCCTGTAGACAGCTGATGAATGGTGAACTGGTGTCTTGCTTGTCGGGCATAGTTGGCCATGCATCATCATTGCTAGCATGCTCTTCAGAGGCTTCGGTGACAGGGTTCATTAAGGGTGCTTCCGATAGACAACTGTGTACAAGGCTTGATGTATCATGCACTTCTGAATTTGTTCGATTCTTGGATTGGTGACCACTGCATGAAGGTATCACATGTGACATGGCATTACTAGGTTTGAACTGCAAATTTTGGCAATTCTGCGGTGCCGTAGAAATGACAGGGAGCTCTTCAGGGGCTTCTCTTTCGCTGTTCACTGCGAGTGGTCTTGGCGCCTGGTAGCGTGCGACGTTCGATGCATCTGAGCGTTCTGTTTTGTTTAGACTGTCGAGGGTGTGTGCACCGGACGGTGATGCATGAGCCCGGGCGAAAGGAGCATGGCTCGACTGGGTATTTTCTTGGTGTGTGAACTCGTCTATCGTGAACATGGTTTCCTTATGAGGCAAACGGTGAGCGTCAGGAGCGCTTGAAGAGCCGCGTAATGGAAAACCGCGTGGTGGACCGCGTATGCGAGACGAAGAATCACGAGCATCAGGTCGGTGGGCAATGTCTCGCGTCGTAGGCTGGAGTGAGGACTTTCGAAATGCCAGCTTTCGTGCAGAAAGGAGGCGTGCTTGATGGTTAGGTTTTTCCCAAAACACGCATGGTCTTCTGAAAGTAAACTCATGTGCCACTTCGTCTTGAGGCACTTGTCGATTCGCACTGGACTTTCGAATGCTTGAGAACTGCTTAGGAAATTGACGATAGTGTGCAGTTGTCTCTAGGTGGTTGGCAATGAGGAAGTCTTGGTCATAGTCATTAAAACGGGTAATCATCTCCTCTTTGATTTTTTGCCATGACTCGTCGTTCTTGAATATGTGAATAAGGTAAAATTTAAATGCCTCACCGGTGACGTAGTCGCTGAAGTTCGTAACCATCTCCCGTTCCGACCAAGATGCAGCGGTTGCGCGGAGTTCGAACAGGTTGAACCAGTCCTGCACGGGTCCGTCGTCCGCTGATCCGGTGTACTTGGGGATGTCGAGGTCAGCCGATGGTTCTGTCATGGTGCTGGTCGTTGTCCTCCTAGGCGATGATTCGGTAGTCAATGTACGGTCAGGGCGTCTTCTGGGGAACTGCGTCGATGATGAGTGACTGATGAAGGGGCAGGCAGGTCTCCATCCTGTCGACTTGTGTGACGCTATGATTAATGGGTGACGTGGCCTGGCTCATACTCCATGTTTATTCTGTTCTGCACTTCTTCCTCATCTACTTCTCCTAACCATCCCTGTCTTCTTACGTCACACATATATATATATATATATATATATATATATATATTTGACAAGGGTGTGTGCTTGTCCGAAACTGTTTTATTGGGCAATGTTTAGATGAAAGGCTGCCCAAGCGTGCACTGTTTTGCTTTTTCTCTACTGCAACAAAAACGGACTTTTTAAAGGCCGCGTTTTTAACGTCAAGCTGTTACCACACAAGGTCAGGCTCTCACCAAGTGTTTGTGGAATTAATTAGGTTTTCTTGCAGGGCCGTCACCCATACATATATATATATATATATATATATATATATATATATATATATATATATATATATCTATATATATATATATATATATATATATATATAAGGGAAACAAGTGTATACCTAAGGGCTCGTTTTTTTCGTGTTTTACACGATATTAATGAGATTTAACATACAATAATGCCAAGGAAGGTATATGGGAAGTTATTAGGCCAATTCTAATGTGATTGAGAAGAAAGAAAAGTGGGTGAAAAGATAACTTGCCGTGGGCAGGATCCCAACCTGCGACCTTCGAATAACGCGTTCGAAGCTTTACCACTCAGCTACCACGACAGCTATTCCCCCAGCCACTTTATTGGGTATCTATGTCAATTGAAACGTGGGAGTGTCAGTCAGCGCCACTAGTAGCCATGGCGAGTGTGGTACACTCTTTATGAGCCTGTTTGGCGTCACGTAGCACGTGAACCTATTACTAACTGGCAATTGACCAATAGTCCCCCGTACTGACACTCACACGTTTAAATTGGCATAGATACCCAATAAAGTTGCTGGTGGGATAGCTGTCGTGGTAGCTCAGTGGTAGAGCATCGAACGCGTTATTCGAAGGTTGTAGGTTCGAATCCTGCCCACGGCAAGTTATCTTTTCTCCCACTTTTCTTTCTTCCCATTTACATTACAATAGGCCTAATAACTTCCGCTATACTTTCCTTGGCATTATCGTCTGTTAGATCTCAATTATATATATATATATATTATATATATATATATATATACATATTGGCTGCTGACCCAGCCGGTCGCGGGATCGAATCCCGGCTGTGGCGGCTGCATTTCCGATGGAGGCGGAAATGTTTTAGGCCCGTGTG